ATAATAATAATAATAATAATAATAATAATAATAATAATAATAATAATAATAATTTATTATTATTAAATATTTCGGCAATGGAGCGAAAAAAATGTACGTTTCAAACGAAACACTACATATTTGTAACAAATATACAATAAATTCATGTGATGGTCAGCCCCTTGCTTTTAAAAAATATTACCGTCATATTTTTTAATAGGACGCTCTATATTTTATAATTCTAAAGACCAATTTTTTGAACATTTGCTGTAATAAAATAAAAAGTAGTACTAAATTATTGTTTTCATTTAATTCCTTCATTTTTTAAAGACTATCACAAAAAAGTAAGAAAAATGTCGGTAATGTTAGGTATATGTCCGCCAAACGTGGCTCAAAGAAATAGAAAATATTGCAGAAATGTAACAATTTATATTTACTAATTGACCTGCTTCGGCGATTTTTTTAAATTTCAACTGGAAAAAAATATGAATTTTGTTCCATAATTTTGGAACACTGTATATAAATAAAAACGTTACAATTTTTTCTAACAAACTTCCTTTACTGGTATAAGGCCAGTAATAATCGTAATTTATTTCTGATTCAATTTAAGACAGAGAGGTCAATGCTAGTCCAAACTCAATTCAATGGGTTCCTAAGAGGCCCATCCCTAACCAGATTTCTTTTCGTTACATAAGAAGTGTCTATCGTACACGAAATCCTTTTAGGAGTCTCGCAGCGTAAAAAACATTTTATAATCCATCTTTGACGTGTTGGCATCACGTTAAACTGACAATGGACGGATGATACAAAAAAGGAAGTAGGTGTAAAATCCAGCCCCGTAGCTGATCTTCACAATAGACCATTCATAGTGTGTTTACTTGTAAATATTAAGTATGGGATAACAACTTAGCGATATTTGCGTGGGCCCGGATGATGTTACAAAAATCAAATTTAGATGTAAAGTCGATGGGAACCTGAAAAGGTGCTCTTCGGTTATTTATGTTGTAAGGATCATAACAGTGATCATTAAGGTGCTAGCTGGGAATAACACGGAGTGTAATATAATGGTTGTTTTTTCATACAACTTTTTTTGCTGGCATGCCTAAAGAATTAAATTTGAATATTTGCAACACGACGTACCGACTGTTTTTATTTAATTAGCCTATTAATGGTCATCTGTAAAGTTTTGAATAAAATTATTTGTACTAGATAAAGTGTTAATGGAGTTATTTGAGAAAAATTTCCAGGAAAAATACGAAAAAAAATACATATCAAAATTTGCACAATGAAGAAATTTATTTGGACCAGTTTAAGCCTCATTTTAAAGTATTTTGATGTGCTAAACGTAAATCTGACGCTAATTAAGCTTGCTAGCTCTTTCTATACCTACACCGTGTCTACCTAGTGCGCGTAAGTCCAATATCTAGGTTAATAAAAGATATAACTTAATTTTTTTTCTACAGAGTTACCTACTTTCCCGAGCTGCACAAAATGAAAATATATTTGCATATACAGGATGTTCAGTTTTTCCTGGGTAGGTACCAACTTAATTTTTTTAAATAGGAACCTATATTTTTATGGCATTATCGAATTCTACGTGAAAAATTAACGGGACGTGTTATGATCCCTATTAAAATATTGATAGTTTTCGAGATACTCGACTTTTCATTTTTTTTTCTTGTTTCGTCACTTCTAGTAGTTGACATAATTATGATTGTATGACAGCTAGAAATTTTTTTTTTTTTCAGGAACTGTAGAGTGAAGATGGCTCTTTCAAAAAATGTATCAAAAGTTGACCTGCGATATACAGGGGGCAAAAAATATCGTGCCAATCCTGATAATCTAAAATTTGAAAAATCTCGACTTTTTCAAATAGAACACCCTGTGTTTTATGATTCCATTAGATGCCTTTCTGTAAACCCTACAATTTTCTAATAGCTTTCCCTATACCTACGTTGCGTAGTTTTTGCAAAAAAAAAACATTTTTATGTAAAATACCGCCCGTTCCTTTGGCTGTAATGTGATTATTTTATTGTTATTATACTTTTCCTATTACCTATTTATCTTTCAGGTCAGCGAACACCTAAATCACGTATATCCAAACCAGTGGTTAGGTCGTGGTGGTCCAGTTCCTTGGCCCGCACGTTTGCCTGACTTAAATAGTCTGGACTTTTTCTTGTGGGGTTATATCAAGGAGCGAGTATACGAAGTACCACCAACGGATATTCAAGACTATAAAAGAAAAGATTCAAAACGAGTTTCTAACTATAACGCCTCAAATGTTAAGAAATGTCCACATTCATTTTCATCGTAGATT